TTATTTTTTGTATTAATGATCTTTTTTCTGTATACAGTCAAGTCAATTGTTTTTCTGTTTATTTTTAATGTGATTTTAAACTCCTCGATTAGTCCGATTTCATCCGGACTATGCGAGGTATTTCTGTAATTTAATAATGAAAAGTTTAATTAAACTTACTAATATTTTAATTAACTTTATATTATTTACAATGTTAAGATATGATCTATATGCCATACAGAGTGCGGATGCGATTAGTGCTAATTCATTTATAGTACGGTTTGAAACTTTCAAAACAAATTAATTGAGAAAAATATTTTTTGCATTAATGACTTTTTTTTATGTGGTTTTAAAGTCCTCGATTAGTTCGGTTTCATCCGTACTATGCGAGGTATTGTTGTATTTATTAAATCAAAAGTATATTTAAACTTACTGAAATTTCAATTAACTTTGAACGTTGGAATTGTCTTAAAAATATTATTATATTTTTCTTATCGAGTGTACGTGGTCATTTATCACGATTTGACTGTAAAATATCGCGTGGCTTACATATCTTTTATGATGCATATATGTGATTAATGGAGCGATAAATTTAAATCGGTTGTTATGATAAATCCCTGTCCGTAAATCATGATCCGAGTGGACCAAGAAGAGAGATAGATCATGATCCATGCATATGATGTATAGCGTTGATAAACAATTTTTGTTTTGAAAATCAATAGCATGGATACCAAAAAAAGTAACCACAGCAACAACAATAACAAAAACTAAGTACAATCTATGGTAATTACTATGACAACGATTTACTTAACAATTACGCCGAAAATGGAAGACAATGCGCGTATACGTCTTCGGTTTACAACAGGAAGACCTTGTTAGAACATAATGGGGTTTAATGACCGAAATCATTTTGTCATCATCGTAACTACCAATTACATTTAGATTTATGACGCATCGAGATTCACCTGGATTAATAACGAAATTTATTACAAAGTCTAATGGAAATGTATTACTTTGTTGACGTCGGATAACGGTGAGAATTTGTGGGTTGAAATTAATTGAAAATATTGATCAGAATTCTACACCTC